GACTTTTCTGCACATTTCCTAAAAATTAAAGGAAAACTATCAAAAATATAGCCACTCGTTCCCCCAAAAATACTGAATAGTCACAGGCTAAGGCATCTTTTTTATAAAATACACTGTGTTTCTCCAATTCTGGAGACAGGGACTATAGCTGTATGTTGCCAAATGTCTGATCAACGACCCCATGTTATTCAGCTATTTTCAAGTAGCCAGTGTTCTGTAGATACAGGCTGACTCTACTCAGTCTCTTTGTTATCTCAGCAGTACATATGGATGCTGGTATTTCTGTCTGGAATATTTTTCAAGGCCAATGCCTCATTATGATCCTAACACCTGAAAATATTTGGCAGTGATCACTCCATCCTCTCCACATCCTCCACTCTTCTCACAGCCCGCCCCATCTTTTGCCATTGTGAAGCTGAACGTTATGTAATTATATCCTTTTCCTGATTGTGTTAACTGTGTATCATGACCTATGGAATGTTGGAAGCATAGAGCTAAGTTTTAAGTCACATTTCAGAGGCAGAAACAACAGTGTAATAGCCAACAACTGTGGGGGTGGGTGTTGGAGGGGTCTAGGTATTTGACTCTGCCTGGAGACTGGTTTTCAGTTCCAGCCCAATTGCTTAACAGCTCTGCTAACATTAACCAAACGACTGTGTAACAGAATCTTGCTTTATGAAATTTCAAAATATATGGCTTTGACTAGACCAGGAACATGGCCTAACAATTTGTTGACTCTAAGAATTTAAGTCAATAGCATTCCCCTTTGCAGCCCTATAAGAATCAACGTTTTTCCAGCTGAAATCAAAGTTTGACATTGACTTTTATACATATTAGATATACACTTGCTCTTAACCAAAAACCTGAGAAGAGGTTACACATTGGAAGCAAATAATTATCCAAAGAGACACAAACCAATATTTAGAGTCAATATGCAGTAAATTACAGACAAAAAAATGCTGTTGTTAGCCTTACAAACACTTACTTTAATGTAAAATTGAATAACAAATTTATCAGATTATGACAGAAGGAAAATGTCCATTGCCTTCTTGCCCTCCATGAATGTAATCTGGGACTGTCTTCTAGCTTGGCTAATGTGTACAGGCTCTGATTGGGGGTACTGTTCTTACTATCCATTTGAACATCTTATATGTTAGATTTCCTTTTCTTTTATAACTAACACATAATTAAATGTGTGATGATAATAATATCCATTGAAGAAATAATAATTGTTTTAAGTTATACAGCAATGTAGGGAGTTACACATTTAATTTTTATAAAACAATATCTAATGTACACTACAGGATTAGTCCTCTGGACGTCCTTAGACATTACCAAATTTAAACCTTTTTTAAACTGAAAATAATCTTCTCCATACCATATATTCCAATCATGGAAACATATGGAATGCTTCACATCATTCTTGCGCCCGGGGCCATGATAATCAGTCTTATCTATATTACTCCACTTTTACTATATGTGCTGCCAAAGCTAGCACTAAACATTTTATTTTGCCTGGAATCTATGTTAAGTGGCTTCCTCCTTGAGAAAAATTATACCACATATCAGGAAAACGATAATAAAAGAACAGTTTGCTAGATCTGACATTTGTGAACATCAAAGTCAGGTAAGAGGACTTTTAGAACTAGGCGCTCAGACTTGAAAACAAATATTACTTTAACATAATTTCACAAAACCTCCCACTGAACACAAGTCAAAGACTTGAAACTTGTAAGATGGAAACTGAGAGTGAATGTTTGAGCCTGGGGCTACAATAACAAACACTGCTACAAACGGGAATACTAGGTTAATAGCCTTCAGTTTCAAGTTTTAGTCCAGGTGTTTGACCACATCTCCCGACTTGGTGATACATTGTCTAAAGTATCAGCTCTAAGTTAAGCTCAATGGCATTTTACAATGCCTAATGCAGAGTGTTATTTCCTTTGCTGTGCTGACTAGGTATTTTTTGTTGTTTTTGTAGAGCTGGAAATAGAACCCAGGGACTTGGCACTTGCTAGGCAAGCGCTCTACCAAGCCACATCCCCAGCTCTTGCAAACACATGTACTAATGTCCTTCCCAAATCTCTCATCTACATAGATATACACTCAGACACTTCCACCCACCCACCCACATCTCCACAGAGACCCACCCAAATGTATGCAAATTAGCACATATGATAATCGCAGTACACCTACACAGGTAGTCAGATACTGAAAAGAAGATAGGTAATGTTAGATGTGTCTCAGAGGAGAGAGACTGCTGTTACCCTGGTTAAGTGGACAATGGGCTTAACTTTCCCAGAATTGCACAGAAATACATAAATGCAAGCAGGCTTATGCAAAAGATAAGTTCCAGGGAAAGCTTGCAGTGAATAGGTTATTCCCCATGAAAACAACCTGAAGTTGACTTACTTATCCTATAGAAAAAGTGACCCCGTTTATTGAGGGATTGCTAACTAGGTATTAAATCAAAACTGTGGGGGGAGGGGATACTGCTTACCTTTAGCTTCTCAAATCGATCATTCAGGGAAGCGACCTGATGGTCTCGGTGACGACCCACCAGTTTGCATAAGGCACAGATCAATTGGTCATCAGATACACAGTACATGTTCACTTTCTCATTCTCATGGTCCAGGCAGGTAATCCCTCGAAGATTCATATCCGAAACTGGTTCCACCAGGCGATGGCTGGTGAAAGGTTTCTTGTTGGGGTGTGTGGCCCGAAGGCAACGGTCACAGTAGGAGACCTCACAGGTGATACACGTCTTCACAGCATCTCTTGGAGGGTCCTGCTCACAGAATTGGCAAGCAATTCGCTCACTAGACATGGCGGAGCTTGGCCTGTAAGTCCTCTCCCGACGGCTCTCACTTGGAGAATTGGACCCACTGACTGAAGCCTTCTGGAAGCGATCAATAATGTTCTGCAGGGTCACATTCCTCTTGAGGCCATCCAGGCCCCGGTGATTCAGCGAGATAACATACCTGCATGTAGGACACTGAAAAGCAGTAATGGGTTCAATGGATTCACCGGAGCTGCAGCTCGAGACCAAGATGCGATGGGCACAGCTGAAACACAGGCTATGAGCACAAGGGAGCAGAAGGGGGTCTTCAAACAACTCGAGGCAGATTGGACAGGTCAATTCAGACTCCAGTGTTTCCATCTTTAGTGAAAATAATCCTGCTGAGGCATTAAGAACCGCAGAGGCTGGGCTTTCACCTGCAAGTAACACAAAGTAAGAGTCGTTAAGCATTTCCAAAGGAAAACTGATTGTAGAATAATTCTATTGCAACCAATGGAGACTTTCGGCCTGATAGACTCCCCAGGGATGCTTAAGCAATAAGAGTTACTTGGAAATTAATCAGGAAGCCTTTCTGCACACCACTCTCCTTCAAACCTTGTTTGAGACACTTGCCTGAGGGTTTTTTTTTTTTTTCATCACTAATAAATAGAAGCAAGCAGCTACCTCTGCCTTGGTTTCCTGATTAACATTACTATTCCAGATCACACAATTGGCATGGATCATTCTCTCTTAATTTCTCCACTGACATCTCTTCTCTGAGACTGTAATGAGTTGGAGGCCCTACAAATATTTCTCAATCCCTATTCGCCAATATTGTTCTCTTATTTCATGTCAATGCAAGATATAAAGGCTGTTCCTATTTTACATCCAGTGGAAGGAAAACAAGGCTGTATTTCAAACCAGTTCTCTCCTTCCTGAAATGATTCCATTCTAAGCATCTACATGGGAAAAAAAAAGACAGACAGTTTTGGGGAAATGCAGTTTTCAGTGCAGGGTAACACATTTGTTTCTTCAGAACTTGTATTACTTCATATGACCACACATGGAAAATTGTTTGATCCTATTTCTAGAATCATTAAAGACAAAAGATGGTAGTTTTCCCTTTCACTTTCTCAAACCCTCACCTTCAAAGACTCTTTAAATCTGTCAAGTTGAGTAGTGAAGAATTTCAACTGTAGACTTAGTAACAACTGCCATCAATGATGGCTTCAGTTTGGTTTTATTGTTAAATAAATACTTTTCAACTAGCACCGGCCTGTTGCAAAGCTCACCTCTCATGGGTGTTTGCACGTTTACAAACCATGATCTGATGCAAATCAATATCTAGATGACAATTGGCAAGTTGATCAGCCAGAAATCTTCAGATCTGGTAACCTTCATTTTAGTGTGGATCAGAGACTAAAGGAAATCTCCTAATTGACAGAACAAATCAGTTTGTCACATTATCCATATTATCCCACAGGCATTTCAGAGTTGGACTACAGATATTGCTAACTTAACATTCTAAGTTAGCCCTCACTAAGGACAAATAGAAAACAGTCTCAATGACTGAAACCATTGCTTCTATTAAGAGGAGAAAGAAGGACATCTTTTGATTTTGAGTAGTCTTGTTCATCCCACTAGCATTAGACATCTTCATCAGGACCTGAGATTTTTGATCATGCACTGGTACTTGTTCAAATATTGTTATTGATTAGTTATATGTGCATAGACTTCTGACAGGAATCACCAAATACTGAGTACAATTATATCTAGCACTTAAGTACAATAAATGTATACACAAAAGATGTTTCTAAATTAAACCTGTTTGATGCACTGAACTAACCAGCTATTTGATGGAACATCCTACAGTAAATGGGGCTGTAAATGGGAAGGGTTTTCTTTATAAGGCAGACACTCCCAGTTACTTAAATAGGTTCAAACGTTTTTTTAGGTACATTTTTTAAAAAAAAAAATATATATGTGATATTTTCATTTTACAATTTTCAGGTACTTAAACATATATTCACACATGTCTGTATTGAAATCTTATAATTGGATGCCTTAGAGAAGAAAGATTACAACTTCCACATAAGGTAAGATTATTTCCTTAGATAACCTCAACTGATACCCCTCAGTTGTTCAAATTGAACATGGCCACAAATGAAATTATACTCTCTGACCACCCTTGCAAAAAGCACAATTGTTTCCTTTTTCGACTTTCCCTAAACATGGATGTTAACACCCAAGCCTAGGAAGTGTTTATTACTTCAAATCCTGAGGGCCTCTAGCACATTTTCATTAATATATCTTTATTTCTAACCAATTCCCTCCTCTCCTGGAAAGCATCAACAATTGTGTATTTTTGTTCAGAGCATTTTGACTAGTACAAAATAGTTATTCAATAATGGCCAATAAAGTATTACTCAAACCAAAAGTAAAAAGGTACATAGTGTTTCTGGATTATTTATTTAACTATGTTCTGAGTGCTATGTTAAGCACTTCATGTACATTATTCATGAAATTCTTTCAGGACTGTGAATATGGAATTATTACTAGACCCATCACATATTTAGGAAAATGAGGCTGAGAGTCATTAGTAAATCAACCAGAAACACAAACCAAGAGCAGAAAGAAGCCAGTCTCATGCCAAGGCCTGGGCTTTTTCCCCCACACCTTTGTTCTTATCATCTCACCTCCTTCACTGAAGCTATCTAGACTATTTACAAGAGTTTCTAAATGGCCTGCTTCCGCTTCTATTTTTGATCCTCTTTGTCCCCCTGAACCTGTCTGCCTCTCTGACTCCTTCCTCTAGGACTATCTCCATCTGACACCACACTTCCATTACAACCCCTTCCAGGGCTTCAAGCATTCCATAATATCTGTGCTGAAAAGTACCTAGGTTGGTCAGAGGCAATGCTGAAAGTCACTTCTACATGTTGACACCTACATAAAATCAGTTAAGAGTGCCACAGTTCCTCTGCCTTAAGAAAGTGCCATAGAAACTATTCTGTAGAGAGAAATACCTCTTCAATTTCACATAAACCCCTAAAATGTGTTCCCAAATCAATATGACCCTAGAACCTCACTATGAAATTAAACTTGGAGAAATACATTCTGGGGACACAATTGCCTTATATAAGGTCAAAACCTTAACTAGGGCTTTCTGAACTTCCTAGAAATGTCTGCAGAGTGTGTGAACATCATATGCATTTATTACCTGAGGAGGATTGTTCATAGCTTTCAAGACTCTCAGAGGTGTCCTTAACAGTAAAGTCTAATATCAAGAACAAACGAACAAAATAATACGGCAGAAAGGATAGACAAAGTACAGAAAACTACTTAAACAAGCTACACCTTATCTTTACAGAAGTGCAATCAGTTAAGACGGTTACAAGGTCCCTGATCTTAGACTGAGGATGCCCTCGAACACCTGATCTTCCTGCTTCTGCCTCTCAAGTGATGGGATGGTAGGTGTGCTCTACCATACATGGCACTCCATTCTGTTTCATTCCATTAAGACACAGTAATGCCATTAGCCAATTTGAGGGATTGAATAATTTTTGCAAGTTCCTCAAATATTTGTTTATTCATTTCTCATTTATTAAGGCTCCCAATTCTCATTACTCCTGTTTCAGTATGTCTACAACTCTCCTCCATTTTCCCTACCTCCATTACTATCTAAGCATCATTATATAGCAATTACCTTTTTCAGTTTTCTTAAAAAATAAGTACTATCATTACAAAAAAAGTAATTTGCCCAAGGTCATACTTACTTGCAAATAACACAATAAATGTTCAAACACAATAAATGTTCAAATCCCTCTAGAAATAAACCAGAATATTTACAGCCAACTTATCTCTGACAAAGGTTCCAAGATAATTCAGCAAAGAAACAATAATCTCAACAAATAGTTCTGGAAGAACTTCATCTCCATGTGCACAAGAAATGAAGTTAGAAACCTACCTTACAACAAACAAAAACAATTCAAACTAGACATGGTGGTGGTTGCCTATAATCCCAGCACTTGAGAGGTGGGCTGAAAGGATCATAGTGAGTTCAAGGCCACTCTGGATTACATAGGGAGATCCTGAGCTACACACACACAAAAAAAATTCAGTCTACAAGATGAATAAATGAAGATGGATCAATCATCTAAGTATAAGAATTAAAAGAGTAGAAATCTTAGAAGAAAAGATTCCTGTAAATCTGAGATGACTTAGATTAGACAACATGATTCTTTTGTTCACAGCAAAAGCACAAGTAACCAATACAGATAAATGTTCTTCATCCAAATTTAAACTTTTAGGGCTATAAACAACACCATCGGCAGAATGAAAAGGCGATAAACAAATAGCCAGTTAAACACATGGAAAGATACCCAACATCAGTAGCCATTAGGGAAATGCAAACCAAACAAATCCACTAGAATAGCTATAATAATACAAATCAAACAAACAAAAAGTAGCAACTGTCTACCAGGTTATGAAGAAATTAAATCCCTCATATATATCTTGTTGGCACGAATATAAAATGGTGCAGCTGCCTTGGGAAATAGTTTGGCATTTCCTCTAGAATTAAATGATGTAAAAGTTAACATCTGATCAAGCAATTCCCCTGTTAGATATATACTGAATAAAGTGAAAAAAAAGGGTGTTCATTAAAAACTCATGCACAGCAATATTCAGAGTAGCCAAGAAGGAAACAACCAAAGCCCATCATCTAATATGTGAATGATCAAAACATGGTTCATCCATAAGACAGAATTTTATTTGGCTAAAAAAACAAATTGAGTATTGATAGATGCTGCAATATAGATAATTCTTTAAACTATAGTTCCAAATGAAAGAAGAAAGTACAGAAACGTAGTATATTGTGTGAGTTCCTTTATATGAAATGCCTAGAATGGGGAAACTCAGGAATAGAAAGCATAACAGTAATCAAGGCCTAGAAGAGAGGAGTGGGTGTAACTAGGAATATGTATGGGCGTTCTTTCTGGGACCTTCACAATGTTCTGGAGTGAGATAGTGGTGATGGTTGCAGAAGTTGTTTTGTTTTTTTTTTTTTTTTTTTTTTTTTTTTTACTATATTCAGAACCATTCAGTTGTATACTTTAAAATGGTGAGTATTTTGGTATGTGAACCATATATCAGTTTTTAAAAAGATATTCAAATTCAAAACAAACTCAAAAGGCACATAGCTATGTAGTATTAATGTATTGCAAGTCGTGGTTATGTAGTACCTATAAACTCTACTGGACGTCTTGTATTTTTTATGTGTATCTCAGTAGGTCTTGAGCTCACTATGTAGCTAATGGTGACCTTGAGTTCCTGATTCTCCTGCTTCATCTACTTACTGCTAGAACTTCAGGCCATCATCACCACTCCCAGCTTGAAACAATAACTTCTTTAAGTTGCATTTCTAGGTCAGTGAGTC